CTAACATCATTATGTTAATCACAAGGCTGCATTTAATCTGTTCTGCACATGACATAAACAGGAATGACATGCACACCTAAACTCCTGGAAGTCTTTCAGCTGTGCTCATTCACTTCCCTCCCTGAAGGAGGAATTAGTGCACTCCATAAGTGTACATTCTCCCTGGCCTCTGAATCTGTGCCACTACTGGCATATTGGAAAAAAGGAGCATAAATACTGTTTACCAACCCTGACCTTTTCTTACTGCAAACTGTTTGGCTTTGGAAGTGCAAGTCAACAAGGTCAAATATGAGTATTTGGTATGACTTTATATTTTTGTTTAAACTGTAACTATACCTGCATTTTAAATACTTGATCATTTTCCTCTCCCTTCCTTCTCCCAGCCATTACATAGGATTTGTCTTTTAGACTGCAAGGTGTGTGGGACATGTCTTTTGTACAAAACCTAGTGAATTGGGGGCCCAACCTGACTGGAGTGCCTGGGCAGTACCATGATATGATGACGTTAACAACAACAAACCTCAAGCTATGCTTTACATCAGTACAATACAGAATATACACACTAACAGTGATTTATTGGATGGAAATAGGAGACACTATTCCTCATAGTTTAAACTAGCCAGGGAAGCAGCAGGAACCATCTGTCCAGTCTAAGCAAGAGGCAAAGTGATATGAGCTAGCAGCAGGAGCAAATAACTATTCAGTCCGAGAGCTCTGTGCCAGAGAGGGCAGCGGCCCATCATCAGGAAAGGGTCCAACATTGTTACCAAATAGATAGATCCCAAGTGAATGAAGGATGTTTGCTACGGTTGGCACAATACTGCTGTAGCTATTACTGAGATGGTCACTGCATCCACAAGATGCCTAAAGTACTCCATCACATCTTCCTAAGCTACTGCACCTCCAGTTTGCTGGAGTACTTGTCCAGTAGCAAGTCAGATCCAGAATAAATGCTGTTGCAAGGATCTCTTCATCAGTACCTGACAGATATTGTGTCCAACTTCCTCTCTGACTGATGCCACTGCTTACTGCTCTCTTCCTTTTTCTCCAACCTCAATAACCTTGGACGAAGGTGTCAAAACTGATAGACACCTCTCCTGTAGCCTTTCTGAATCATGGAAGTGGCTGCCCATTATCACAAGGAATCACATATGTGGTGCTGATTCAAAAATAGAGGTGGTTCTACAAGACTTTTCACTCCCCTGTTCTAAGTTAGTGGTGGCCAACCTTTTTGAAACGTGTGCCACAAGGCAAGTCCAAACTATTAGATAATGCCATTGCAATAACGTGTGATGCTACTGGCATAGTGAGAAAAAAGGAGCATAAATACCGTTCACCAACTCTGACCTTTTCTTACCGCAAATTGCTTGACTATGGATGTGCAAGACAGCAAGGTGCCACTGGGGCATGGCAGTGTTGAATTTGACAGTGCCTACTTCTGTAGCTCCCATGGGGCCAAATCCTCAAGGTAGCACCAACCCCCAACTCCCACCCAGATAGCTTTCCCCACCCCAATTCCCACCACTGGTGTCCTCTAACTCAGTGCTTGGGTCTCACGTGCCAAACATACCACCTGCCCATGTGGGGTACTTGTGGCACATGTGCTGCAAATATTTAACTGACCCACATATTTGTATAAGTTAATGAGATGCTCAATTTTATTTAATTTTTTTACCAAAATATAAAATGGAACAGAATGGAAGATTCAATTCTAGTAACTTTACGACTTCTTTATATTATAGACCCCTTGGCTTCATCTCCCGAGGACAATTTTTTTTTGATGTTGGAGCATTCTGGCATCTAGCCCCTGAAGTCATGTCTCATTCTCACAGCCATACAAGCTTGTTGTATTGATCCATCAGCACATTTTATGTTGACATTACTAGCTTTCTCTCATCTCATAATTCTTCACTCCATCCCAGAACTCCCACCTCCAAATTAAACCAAGGAATACATTTAGCAGCGACTGTGCTAGCACTTCTAATACATACCTATGAACGTGCATGGATCTGAGTGTCCACAGTAATGAAAATACAAAATGGTTCCACCATAGCCAAATGAATCAGGAGTTGGACAGAACACAAGATCTCAACCTGACTCTTCCAGAAAGACTCTGGGGGTTTTGACCATTGCCACTTTCCTTATGGCTAAATTCCATATTTACTTGAATCTAAGATGACCCTGAATTTAAGACCCCCCCCCATAATTAGATTCTATACATGGAATATTTATAAATTTGCTATAATTTTCCATGTATAGAATCTAATGATTGGAGGGCCATCTTTAATTCATTCCCCCACCCACACTATTGTGGGGGTGGGAGGGGAGGTGGTATAGGAAGGTCAAGTAGCTTGCCCCCTGCTGATGCCTGCCCCCTACTGCCTCTGTCCCCTGCCTGCCCCCGCAGCTTCCTCCCAGTCTCTGCTCCCCAATTCCTCCCCAGCCTCTATTCGGCCCCTTCTCCCCCACCCTCTGCTCCATACCAGGAGACTCCCTTCACGTTCTGGCCTGGGGCACCAAGCACAACCCCAACCCAGACCCATAGCAGCTGTACTTTTGTTATGGCTCTGACCCTGGGTAGGGGTATGAGCCAAGCCACAATAGCTGCCTGCCCCCCATCGCTCTTGCATGCAATTCTAAGATGAGGGCCTTTCTCTGCCCCCCACCATGTTAAATGGTGGGGGAACTGAGAATAGAGTAAATACAGTACTCAACAGGCAGTCAGCACTGGCTCAATGTCTAGTTGGGAAGAAGTATCAACTAGGGTTCCCCAGGGATCTGTTCTGAGCCCAGTAATGTTTAATATCTTCATCAATGATTTGGATGATAGGATCAAGTGCACATTTAGCATATTTGCAGAGGACACCAAGTTGGGTGGAATTGCAAACACTCTTGAGGACAGAGCTAGGATCCAGAATGACTTGATAGACTGGAGAAATTGTCCACAATCAATCAAATAACAGTCAATGGCCCTGTCCACACAAGCATGGACATTTGTTTCCCCAGGAACAAGAAGCAAAGGCACACTTTGTGCCACTGCTACTTGTGCCCGGGAAACACCCACACCACGCACACTCTGGTGTGTGGCAGGTTACCCTGGGTGGGGTACAGGAGGCTGGGGCCAACAACTGTGCTGGACCCAGCAGTCTTACACTGTGGTCTTGGGAGTTTGGGGAACTGCAGCCATGGTGCTCCTGGAGCTGACAGCCTTGCCAGCAGCTGGAGTGTGGCTCCTGCAGGCCAGGCTCCCATTTCAGGCAACATAGGCTGTCGCCACATGTGCCACCTGGCTTTTTTTAAGACACGGGTTTTTTTGACCCCAGGATCTCCTAGAGCCAAAAAATGCCCCCACACTGCAAGGTAGCAGCGTGGGGAATGCCTACATGTATGGCGTATCATGTCGCAGTCGGGTCTGCGGTGCCACATACCACACATTCACACTCATTTCGACATGGCCAATAAGAACAGCTGCAAAGCCCTGCACTTGAACTGGAATAATTGCATGCACTAATACAGACCGGGGAAAGACTGGCTAGGCTGCAGTACTGCACAGAAGGACCTGCGGTTACAGTAGACCATAGGCTAAATATGAACCAACAATGTGTTCCTGTTGCAAAAAAACACGAGAATAAGTCAGGACAACATCCACCCATTAATTTTTTTTCTTGAAGCAGTAGGAATGCTTTGGATTAATATATACTGAAAAAAGTTACCCTGCATAGAAAGTTAAGCAATTTTGCTTATTTAACAGAATCTTGGGTTATCCTGCAAAATGTATTCCACACTCAAGGTATTGCATTAGTTCTATGTCTTCAGTTGAAAATTAGTTCATACAATTAAAACAGACAGGCACATTTCAATCAAGGTAAAATCAGTTTCTAGATTTTGTAAAAATTAGTTACACTGAGAACCAAAATGCAATTACAAACCTGAAGCCTGATCTTGGCCATCCTCCTCAGGCCAAACCCTCTCTGTACTTAAGCAGGTGTTTTATGATAGTTGCAGACTGGATTGTGGCTCAACATTTGAAAAAAGTGTTTCTCAACGTGTATATCAAAACTTTGCTTCCATATATAAAATACCAACATTAAACTCAATCTTTCCTGCAAACCATCAGCTGTGTATCTCCAATGTCTTTCAATCTATTGTAAAAAGTCTTATAAAAGGGGTTTCTGAAAAATGTTAAGGGGACTGCTGGAATTTTTTTTTTAAGACTTTGCTTCACATGACTAACAGAGCATTATATGCAAAGGTATACTCTCCAGATGATCACCACCTCTGGCTCTCTCCATTAAGCTAAAGACATTATGGGTCAAATTCTTTGTTCAGATCCATGTATGCAATTAATTTAAGTCAATGGTAGCTGCATGACCATGTTCTAGGAAACTGGTTTCAGTTGTCGTTGTTTTGTTGTTTTTGTTTTAAGCTTCCTGAACAGCTCTCTTTTATCCCCTGGGTTGCCCTAGGCTATTCACCTAATACAGGGGGAAAACAAATTTTACCAGAAGTAAAACATTTGCTGGATTTTAAATAATTACCTTCAGTAAATGTTCAAAATGAGAAAATGTGTAAAATGAGAAAAGTAAAAATAAAGAAATTAAACTTATTTACAGCTCCTTTCTAAAGTTCCTTCTCTTTCATTTTCCTATCTTTTACAGATTGGTAGCACTGAATAATGACTAAAAAAGTTTCATGCCTCAGTCAGAATGTGTCTGTGTTCCCCATGCTGCATATATGGTTCCAAACTTGAACTTCCAGAAACTTTCTCAGTGAAGCAAAGAGAGAGGAACTGACTTCTAAGGAAAACTTTTCCAAGACAGCAATATCTTTAGCTGTAGGGTTTTCCAAACAGCGTTATGAACACAGAATCAGCTAAACTTTCATTGAGCTTCATGCAGGATTAATATCTCAATGGCCATCCTCAACAAGATGAAATATGTTCAAGATCTGAATGGAGAGGGGACAATAGAATTGCAAATAGGACGATAGCCAAAGCTTACCATTGTTCCTTCACTCTTATTTCGTGCAACTTCCCGCTGCAGCCGAGCCACAGACAGCTTCTCCCTATGGAAAGAAAAGCATATGAATAGCAGTTCATTTTTCACAAGTAGGGAGAATACGCCGGTTGCTCGTCACTGTAGCATTCTTGGACATTGCTGTGGTAACCTCTTGGCAGATCCAGCTCTCTGCCATATTTCCTAAAAATATTTCATGGGGTTGAACATTATTGTTGCATTTGTGATAGTTTGACAGTTTGACAAAATGTCAGTAAATCAAATAATCTAAGCCCAACTGTTTCACTGAAACAGCTAACAAAGTAGCCCATAAATTTAGACTTTCAAAACGTCTGCAAGTTACATTGCATAGTGGCACCTTTTATCTCCTCCCCCCTCCCCGATAATTTACAAATCAGCTTTATCTGCTCCATGACAGTTCTGGCTGGCATATTAAAATACAAACAGAGTAACAAGGATGGATAGATAGCTGGATGGATCCTTGGTACTCTGTGTGTGTGTGTGTGTGTGTGTGTGTGATATGATCAATAAACTGAACAAGCAGCATGTGCCCTCCAACCATACTCATAAGAACAGTATACAGTGCTTTGTATTATACTACTACTTTAACACTTTAGGGCACTTTTACATGTAGGCTGACCACCCATCCCTAATTAGATGGGATAGTCCTGAAATAGGATCATCAAGTCCTCGTACTGGGCTGCATGGCTCCAGGACAGCATTTATCCCAGATTTGCAGCACTGTGCAGAGACTTGGATTTCCCCTTAAGGGCGGGCAACAAGCCAGCCTGCAAGGGACTGCCAGGAGTGGGATGCAGAGAGTACCGCGTGCATGTGCTCACCCACAGACATGCACGTGGCTGGGAAACAGCCAGACAGGTTGGATAGTAACTCAATGCAGGTAAGTCTGTGGGGAGAGGAAGGGTAATGGGGGGCAGATCAAGGCCCCCATGGTGAGGGAAGGAGTGGGGCAGGCTCTGGTGGTGCTGCCCAGACAGGGAAGAGCATGGAGCCCTGGGGCTGGGGTGGGAAGTGGGACAGATATGGGTGGCTCATCTAGGGTGTGCAGGGCATGTGGGGGACTGGCTCCTCACCACTGTGTGCACCCTTCAGGGGTGGGCATTGGAGGCACATACCCCCCAGAACTGTGCATGGAGTGTGGGCAGAAGTGGGTTGCCTTCTGCAGGCTTGGGGCTTCCTGCCCCACTGCCCATCCCCTGAGAGCCCCGCACCATCACAGGGCAGCAGCGGCATGGAGCTTTGCCAACCAATGCTACCAGGCAGGCAGGGGGTGCACAGCTGGCGTGGGGTTCCTGGGGGAAGGGCAGCAGGGCAGGGAGCCCTGAGACCACAGTGGGCAGCCCACATCTGCCCCCCACCCACTCTGTCCAGCCGTGCCAGTGGCAGGGGGATGGGGAAGGCAGGCTTGTGTCCCGCCTTCCAATTTGAAAATGTGGCCACCCTATTTACACATGCTCCTGGGGTGGGGGAGGCAGCATTTTAATTAGAACGGCTCTGAGTGCCACTCTAATTAAAGTGTCACAGCATCTTGTGTATCAGTGTCCCCATGCTTCAAAATGGGGGGGGGACCTTGAACTAAAGCTTGTTCAACGACCACTATTTTGAAGCACAGGGACACTGATACACAGAAGTAGGAGGCTGCTCGAGTGTGGTAATTGCCACATTTTAGCAGACCTGATTAACTGAGCCTACTCTGACGCGCTGTAATTACAGCGTATCAGAACAGCCTCCACGCCCTTACAGCCTAATCCTGCAGTCTCCCATCCCATGAAATCTTCAGTGAAATCCTAAACTTGGCCCATGTAGGATTATTTTCTTAAGTAAGAATTGGGGAAAATTCTGTGTACAACTAACCACAAAACACAAGATGTTTCTCTTTAAGGAGTTGTGGGTAAGAGACAAAAGATACAGCATTTACTGACCGGGGGAAGACGGAAAGGAACTGTCTATGGGATGAAAAAAACATGGTAGGTAAGAACTTTTACATCTCTTAGTCCCAGAAAATACAAAGCGACACCAAGGAAACCTCTACTAGTGAAGCACAGAAAAAAAAATCAAGGAAAGTAGCAGGGGAGAATAGCAGGGGAGAAAAATAAGCTGATATGCTAGAGTGAGTTCCTTTAAAATGGTTTTAGGAAAGGCAACAAAAAGGGTCAGAGGTCTGGAAAACATTATTTAGAAGAAAAGGTTGGAAGAACTGGGATTATATAGTCTGGACTAGAGAAAACAGAGGGGGATTTGGTAACAACTTTCAAGTACCTGACGGGTAGTTTTAAAGAAGATGGTGATAGAATATTCCCTGTGGCTGCAGAGGACAAGGCAAGGAGAAATGGTCTTAAATTGCAATAATGGGTAGGATATTAGAAAAAACTCTCTCACTATGCAGGTGGTTAAGCAATGGAATAGGCTATCCATAGAAGTCGTGGAACCTCCATCCTTGGAAGTTTTAAGAGCAGGCCAGACTAGCACTTGTCTGGAATGGCTTAAAAATATAATCCGATCTTGACCTAAGCATAGGTTGGACTAGATAACTTCCTGAGTTCTACTTTTCTATGATTTTTTCAAGTGCATTTTTCAACTGGGTTCTGGAATTATTATATGATATCAATGATATACCCTCCTGCTTCCTCCAATGTAGCAAACAGCATACAATGCTTACTTGGGGTGTGGGAAAACCACTTCTCCAGCAAGACAAATCAAGAGAAATGCATCTGCTGGTCAAGTCGCTCAACTGTGTTGTGAGGTTTGGGTCTTTACTTAAACTAAGCAGAGCAGGGATTTGAAACTCCCCCGATGAAAGCTCCAGCCAGTCTGTTGGCTTCTCTCATGTTCTTTATGAAAATTTCTGAAAGTTGCTGGTTTGCACTGATGCAGAACAGACAAATTTTTAAAATCTTGAAAACATTATATCTTGAAGATTATTAGCTTACTGAAGGAAGACCTTTTTTCTTTTCAGTTAAAAAAAAAAGTTCAGTTCCAACACCTACGTCCAATCCTCTCTTCTGACAGCACAGCAGACAGCATAACACCATGGTTTAAAATATGCCTTTAAAGTAATTTTGAATTAAAAAAGAATTATTCTAAAATAGAAAAAATGAATCAAGGGGCATGAAAAAGAAGGGGGTAAAGATGTGGCAGGTAGGAAATATGGAATGAATCCCCGCTCAAAAGAAAAAGAAATGTGCAAACACTTCCCAAGTTGGGCTCCTACTCTTCAAATGAAATAAGACTTTTTTAGCGATCGAGTTTTAGCATTAGCAGAGACCAGTCAAGGCAGTCTGGAACTCAGGGAGAGCAAATGTAGCCAATGGCCCAACATTGCAAAGTTCCAGACTCCTCCCATGTTAAGGTGCAACAAAGGAATCCATGAAAGGGTCAATGGTGTACATGGATAGGCCCAGGCTCAAGGAGGAAGTCTCAAAGAGCCTCCATCACCCCTAACTAGCAATGTGGCTATACTGAAATGATGATACTGGAACAATATAGGCATGATCTCCAACTTAAGAGAGGAAAACAAACCTAAACAACTTCATTATACTTCGGCAATCACCAACTCAAAAAGGAAAGAAAGATGAACTGGTAAATGATCTGGAGCAGGGATTAGTAAAAAGGAGGTAAGAGTGTAACATATAATATCTCTGTTCCCTAAACCAGGGAAACCTCTGTCCTAGCAGGGCTTCTACAGAAGGGAAGGTGCGATAGAACCGGTTGGTACAGCACCATCCCGCTGGAAGGGATTCCCGGAGAAGAATGCTGCAACAACATTAATTCCCTAAAGATCTTGCTCTCCTCTTTGAGAGGCATCAACTCAGGCATATGTGAGATGGTGTCAGCAGAGTGCTATTAGGGACCATACTGTCAACGGGAAGGCAGCAGTGAAGTCACCCTGCATGGGGATTTACAGGATTTCCACAGGGATTAACGGTGTTCTAATGGGCAGCCTCAGTTCGACACACACTGGGCCAACAAGGGCACCTTTCACGCCAATATGAGGCTCTAAAAATGCAGCTTTTCAATATTATTATTCCTATTTATTTTAAGCACGTTGCTTGGGTATTATCACAAGGAAATTACAAAATTGGTAAATCCTGTTTTAAGGATTTAGCTCATCTACTAAAAATGGCCAGTTGTGGCTTTCTGCATTGCTTCACCACTTTAATATGACTTAGTGGAAAAAGCTAGCATATGCTTTGAGCGGTTTTGACTTGTTAATTGCAAAATAAATGCCTATAGATATTTTATAAGCAAAGCACATGTGAACTGTTTATCCATATTTTTAAAAAGTCAGCTAAAAAGAAGAGAATGTTAAAATATGCATGAAGAAAAAAAAACCACAGGCTGCCCCTGCATCTACTTCATAACAGTTGTCTGTAAATATTTGCTTGTTTGCTTCTAGAAAAGAGAGGGAAAAGAAGAACTGATCATTTTCCCCGATCAAATCACATGCACCCCAATGGAAAAACAGCCGAAGAATTCTGGAGCTGAAAACCCCAAATCCCTCCCAAGCTTCATGAATCAAGCGATTGTTGGTACAAGAATCTTTGAGCATCCCTAGGAAGTCCCGAAAACACAAAAATAAAAAGAACTTCTTATAAGAATTTACAATTGAACCAGAGCAAGGATGGCCACTTCCACAGTATCCTAATATAAATATTCCCAGGTTGTTCTAAATTCTTTATTTAAAAATAAATGCCATTTGTCAATTGGTTAAAAAAAAAAAAAAAAAGCAAAAACACTACCAAAAAAGCCTTTTATGTATAAGGAAAACTTTGAATAAGGGGACAGCCATCTGTTGCATGGTGTCTAAAACAAGGAGGCAAATCAATTTTATATTTCCATTTTAAATAGGTCCCAATGCACCCCCCCCTTATGCCATAATTGAAGAAAATGTGCATTCAAGTCCAGACCTGGGCAGATGGTCATCTTCATTTAGGAGAACACATTTCAGAAGCACAGTAGTGCCTTTGGACCAAATTAATTCATGGTGTAACTGTATGATCTGCCAGCCGGGATGAATTAAAGCCATTA